AATTTATCGGACGATTTTCCCAGCTTCTGTTATTTCATTTTTTAATTTTTCGACTTGCGCATATGCTAAATATGGTAGGAGTTTTCTTATTTGTTATTATCGAAGTGTACAGTTCGATTCATAAATTTCTCGGACGAGTTTTTCTGTTATCAGCGTGGTGGTGTAACGGTGCCTGCCCACTAATCACTTATGCGCTTCCGAGTAATGATAACCAGTTACTGAAAGTTTCTCTTGATGCCCGGTCGACGCCACCATCTATGGTTTTCTCTTTCTATTTATGAAAACGAGAATTTTTTTCAGGAAATTGTTCCACAAATTTTATTCTTGCTTTTTGCTCAACTTGTGGCGCAATGGCAGGCTTTTTTCCCAAGTTTAGGGTTGTTTTGGCAAAGTTCCAAGTAGATGAGATTTGCTTTGAAATCGCTTTATCTCCAGACAAAACCACGAATGTTTATAGCTCCTCGCATCCATCATCTTCTATCGCTAGGTTCTTGCAGCTCAAGTCTTATTTCAAATCGAATAGACATATTCAGGGATTTTGCACTCTAAAATCTTTCATATTAGAACTTGAGCTTAGCACTTCCTTGAAATCCTATTAAAAATTGCATTCTCAAAGATCTAGTCATCTTCGGATCTTGATTCCATCTACACGTAAAAAGTTCCATCCGTCAATTATTGGCTCCTAGAGACCTCTTGCACGTGTTTAATCTCATTGAGCACCTCATTGCTATCAGTAGAATTCTGAAACTTTTTCGTTATCCAAATGATCGATTGTTGAAAACCGGTTTGTTGTGTGGTCATTTAAATCGCCTCGATTCTCGCCCAACTCGCACAAAACTTTACTGACCGGGCGATTCCTCTAATTCCATTCATGCGGCGAAAAATTCTCATTTCGAACCTTGCATTCTAGCTCCAGTTGCTCCGTTTCCTTTTTGTGAGATATTTTATTTCCCTTTTACAAATTCATATCTGTTCTTCCCTTCAATCTAAATTTGTGGCCCTAGAATTCCCATTTCGGGTGCAAAGGATTCGCTGCAGTCGAATAAAAAGTGAATGAGCGTACCTAAATTGGAATCTAGTTCCCTTCTGAATACTTCGGATGCCCCGAGAAGCCCAGGATTCAGTTCCCTGTCTTTTTCTGGTAGTTCCCATAGCCACCGTGTCTCCCTTCTCTTAGCGGTTCCTTTGTTCTCAATCGCTTCTTAAAGATGTACGTTTCATTCATTCGATGAGAACGAGTAGTAGGGGCAATCTGGGGTGTTCATAACCATCCACCGACTACTTACTTCCATGTTCTCGTTTACAAACTAAGTTGTGCAATCTAGACTGATTCTAATTTGGTTGCCATCCATTTTTTGAGCTATATCGAACTTTTCCCTATAATGGGTCCTTTCTTTTCATAATCAGATCACTTATTCGATCATTCCCCACATCTTGCAGTTCATCCTTTTTTTACATCGTTTTATCGAATCTTTTATCTCGTTTGATACAGGAGTTCTTGATTTCTTTTTCTGGTTTAATCAATCACTTCATGCATCATCGCTCATTCATGTATAATTTCTGATTTCTGGTTACAGACACCATGAACAGTGTCGAAACATTCTTTGTCAATTCCATTCTGTAGATTTTACAATTTTTTCTAGATGTGAATGATTGAACTAAGTAGATCTGTCTATGATTTGGGAAATGTGTTCTGCACCCCTTTTGTTTCCTCAAATTTCAGTCAATATATCATGTGAGCTTCACAAATTTTTGAAGCCCATGATTTCATCATTAGTCGGGCAATTCTTTTGAATCGTAAATCTTAATAGCATACACCAAGCTCCTTTGCAGAAATTTTAGAAGTAGTCTGCAAGTTTTGCGTATAGGTCTGTACAGGGCTTACATGAAAAAGATTTTCAGATATTTTTGTTTTCTGAAACTTTTTCTCACTTTTTCGCCCGCCGTCGGAAGAAAGTGCCGAAATGCATTCTAGAAGAGCCACAGTAAGGCACTCATAGCAAAAAAGGCTATCAAATATGTTTACAAAACTGTCGTAAACTTACTGGTTGTGTGTGCATTTGCGGCAATGATCATGCCGGTAGGGAGGCGTCATGGATCCCTAGGTATGGAACCAATTCGAAATTCTCTGGAACGTTCCGGAATTTGTCAAAAATAAAAAGAAAAGGTGTCGCAAAAAACACTCACCACCTAATAAATGTTGATGGTGTCTGTCTCCCCTATAGTATCCTCTTGCCGTCTTCACGCACCCTTGCGAGGAAATTGAAATTAAAGGGAGAAAAGTACTATCAACGACTTTGAACGAGCAAAACTGCAGTCTCCTTTGCATGAGGTCTTTTCCAATGCGTCATGGGCAATTTTCGCTTGTTTATAGTGGTTGTAAAGGCACTTTGACAGTGGTTGAATTCATCATAGCATTGTGTGCCACCAGCTAAGAACTGACTTTTGTTAGCGTCCGATCGTTAACAACCGGTCGCCGGTGCATCTCTCTCCATAGTGCAAAACTCGCCTCTGTTGTGGCTTGTGCTGCACAGGGGCCCCGAGTTGAATTGACAAGTCCCCTTCTGGCGATTAGCAGAATCGCCCTTGAGCACGAGTCGCTCTTAGCCGCCAAAAAAAAAACTGTTTCGAATGTTCGTAAGTAAGTGGCAAACTTATGATTATTTTGAGCGCTCTTCACGCGCAGTCACTTCACTCTCTCGATTGGGCTATTTTGAGGGTAAGTCCTTCATTCTGCCTTTTTCCCAGCAAGTGTTTTTTTAGAAACACATAAGATTGACCCAAGGTTGTTCTTGTTCAAATTTTAATCATCTTTTTGGATAAATTATATCTTCTCATCAAGAGTTCTTAATTTGTATAAAGTTTGTGCTGAAGCCTTGAGATCTCGCCCAGTATATTATTTCCAAGCAGTACGGTACTGGGCGAGAACGTGACAGCACCTGTTTACCGTGCTGGGCGAGATCGTGACAACTGTGATCTTTCTTATCAGGCTCCAGTTCATATGGTTTATCCGTGTTTCAGAGATTCAGCTCAGCTCTCGCCCAGTACCATACTCTTTCCAAGCAGTACGGTACTGGGCGAGAACGTGATTGACAGCACCTGTGTACCGTGCTGGACGAGATAGAACCTGTCGTCTTTCTTATTGAGCTCCAGTTCATATGGTTTATCCGTATTCCAGAGAATCAGCTCAGCTCTCGCCCAGTACCATACTCCTCACGAGCAGTACGGTAATGGGCGAGAATGTGACAGCACCTGTCATGATTCCTATTAAGCTCTAGCTCATGTGAGTTATTTGTGCTAGAAATTTAGTTTCAAGCTTTTGTCCTCTACCATGCTCTTCGCGTTACGGTACTGGGCGAGATCTGGGAATTGAATTTCAAGACATTGTATCGCACGAGCTGCTGCTCAAGTGAAGGTTTAGTCAGAACTTCCAATCGGTATTCAAATAAGAAGCCCTGGTACCCAGGTTTTGCGTGAACTACTCATGAATCTAGCATTTTCAAGATTTTGTTTTGTGGCTAAGAAAAACCAAACTCACCCAACCGAAGCAGTCATATTGGTTTAGTCTCTTACATCTTACGGTATCCGCCCAAAAACAACTGAAAGTTATTATAATACATAGCCACTTGTGTGATCACGACTCCTACTACTGATCGCGACTTAGGTTTGATGCTCTCGCAGATCTGTGGTAGCTTTGTCCCATGTAATAAGCCTAAATCATTTTTCTTGGAGTCGTAGCCGACCATGAAAAAGCCCCGAAGACAAATGGCTCCTATGATCCTTTGTCCACACTTTTGATGTGATCTTGGGATGTATCTTTATTTTCGTGCGGCACGTTTTGTTCCATCAAGAGGCTCCATACATCCTCCTGAAAGTGGTTTTTAGCGGAAAGATTGGGAAAATCCGCCGCAATAATTTCGATCGGCATTTTTATTAGTGCCAATCTCTATGCCATTGCCACTGTATCGTCTAGGCTATTTCCTCAAATCCTCTTAGGCGGTTTTTCAATCTTGCTTGTCCGGTATTTTATGGAGTGATCTTTTTACCTGCAAACCTGAGTTTATGCGCTGTAACATCTATCTTTAGCAAAGTATTGTAAAACTTAATTACCATCTCAGACCGTGCACCTGCTATAAGTGGTTTTGGCCCCTCCGATTCGTGAAGAAAACTTCTATTAGGAGAACAGCAGGGCCGCTTGGAACTTTCCCTATCACATTTTCCATGCTAATCTGCACATTTTTTTGACAAATATTAGTTGACGTTGTTTGAAGTTTCTTGGACAAGTATTGACATCAAGGAAGTCTCATATTCTTCACCAAGTGCGCCAGTACTGAATCCTTCTATCATTCATTATTAAAACAGCACGCATCGCTTGTGAATTTATGTCATTCTGCACTTTTATGAAATACTTTCTATCTTTGGAACTATAACATTTTTTTCTTGAAAAGGTGAAGGTAAATCATCGGTTGCTTCATAATCCGCTTGTGATAACAAACAGCTCATACCGAATCGCTAAGATGTTTGCCAAACTTCACAGGAACTGAGAATTATCATCTGAGTCTTGCAAAGAAGAAACCCTTTGAAATCCATATTTACATCTCTCTTCTCACTATTTTTCCCTCTTCTAAAATTTGCCAACGCCTTGTCAAGCCGAGTCTCTACAGCTTTATTGTTATTCAAATCGGTAACCATTGACGATCGCTGCCGCCCGGTCGTAAAATTTCGAAACGGTCACGCAAAACTATCCGATTCACTGTGGTTTAGGCCGATCGTGTTGTGTGTGCGCCCTTTAATTAGCCGTGACTCCATGTCTCCGCACCTTTAAACGGAGGAGGCCTCTTTCCCAATTGCCGTTGTTCCTACAGCGAAGATGTTAACAACAGGAGCTTGTGTATGCACTCAAAAATTATTCGGTTCAATTTTGAGAGTGAGAGAGAAAGAGAGAGGAAGAGGTTGCCAATTTACAAAAATTCTTATTATTGATTTTATCGATTTTTTAGGCTCAGTGTCGTTCGCGCGAGCATCACGATCTCTACTCCATGAACGAACCCAGATCTGTGAATCGAGTTGTGGCTTCACTCATTCGAAGCATTGAAGATAGCCGATACTCAGCACCTGACCGACCAGCACAGATTACGGTAGACAGCGAGCGGGGACAGGTACGGTAAATCTACCGTAATCATTTGAATGTTTTTGACCTATGGTACATAATGTAATTTGCCGTGTAAGTTAAGAGCTGGTTTCCCGCTGTGCAATAACGTTGTTCGTCCTTGTGCTAGTGATTTTCGCCAACAGAAAGAAGTGTATGAATTACTGAGAAAATTACAGGATGCAGCCACACAAACATCGCCGTTCTCAATTTCGCGCTCGTCTTCATTCGACTGGATCAACGAACCAACCGAAGGAGGACTTCGCGATTTGAAGACACCGCTCAGTACACCTCGGTATGTTTAAGCTACCTATTAGTTTACCCAGGGTTAACCAATATCGCTTTACATCCCACATGTGCAAGTAACCAAGCCGAAGAGCAGTTTGTGAGTCGTTAAAAGAGGGGAGGCAGGCACGAATGTTCATTGGCTTTGTCATTCCATGCTTTCTCAATCTTTGCTCAATTCTGCTCTCATCTTCCATTCTTCGCTTTTGGTATCAAGCGTGCTTGCAGGATGCCTTATTTTAGCTAAAAGCCCGTCTTCAGAACCCGTGACAAGTAGATGCATATGGTCCTTCAATACGTCACTTCTTGAAGGACGGGAGTGCATTTTACCCAAATCTCTTTCACAAATGATAGGAAAATAGAGCTGGAGATTTGTGAACATAAGTGCTGAAGAGTTGTTATTATCAGTAACCCGTGAGAATGACTGTACTTAACCGAAAGAATAGCTCGTGAAACTTTACAAAAGACAGAGAAATAGATAGCGTTAGCTAATCTAGGAAAGACAGGTTTCCTGAACGCATTTTGGAAAGGCTTTATCACATTTAGTCCAGGCTACTCGACGACATGTTAAAAAATAAATTTTATAAAGTTTGAAAATCAAAGTGCAGTTATTCATATTCTTCCTTTTGTTGTTTAGTTTGAATCTTTCGAAAATGCCAACTGAATTTGCTGTATAACTGTCACGAAATTCTATTAGATTTCCTGTTCCCCTCCCAAAATTTGGGACAAGTCGGCAAAAGAATTTCAAGCGTCGCGAAATTTATCATAGTTTTTGAAGCGTCTTTTTTGAAATTCGGGGAAGGATTGCTCTTCGTTTGAAGAAACTTTTGCTAAGCTCCTCTCTCTCTCTCTCTCTCTCTCTCTCTCTCTCTCCCACCCCTTTCCGCCACAAAAAAACTATGCTGCCTCTGATAGATTATGAGAAATTCACAGATGACCAATTTACGGCTGATATTACGCATTCTTTGAGCGAATCTAATTTTTCCAGCTCTGGGAAGTTTCGGACAGTTTACAGCGTTTTGTATAGAGTCTTTAGGTATTTTTCAATCACTTCCTGCTTGAGAATATCGAAGAAACTTTTTTTAAGCAGTAATAGCGCATGCCTTTGACTATTCGCATGCCCTTACACATTTTTGCTAAGCGATCATCTTTAACTACCATGACAGTTGTCGGCTAATAACACTGACTTCAAGCTGCTAAATGCCTTACTTTCATTCCAGTGCCTTCTTTTCTCTGCCTATTAAATTACCGGCTGACGCAAATGCAATATGTTTAGGCGGTAGTTTTTTGACGGACAGCTGTAACCTAATATGCTGCAATAAATTTCGAGAGCTTTGTTCTCTTGGCTAATGCTACCTATCTGAGTCTGTGATCAGTGGCAGTGTACAGTGGTGTGCAAAATTCGTGGCATTTGACTTATTAGCCACTTATATCGGGGTAATTAGATGAAGCCACTGTGTTGAAGAAATTTTTGTTTGCTTTGTTACATTGTGAGTCTACTCTGCTCCACCCATGGTAGATTACCACTAAAGAATAGCTTTTGACAATTTTTTTTATCTGGGTGTTCTACAGCAAGAATCCAAAGTTCAACAATAAAACGCGAGAACTTGAAACTGGTGACCAGACTAGTTTGTGAAATTCCATGAAACAAAGAAATCTTTCTTTTGGCTTTACTACGGAAGATTCTATTACAGAGAACTGAAGATTGCTGCAGTCGACTTAACGAATTTATAGGTCTAAAATAAGAAATAGTATTCTAGTGCAGGGAGGGTTAGAGTCAAGCAATATTTGCCCTTTTTCCAGTTTTTTTCAAACCCAACAACACTCATCGAGTTTTTCTCACCCCAGCTCAAATTTGAAGAAATCAAGCAAAAAGCGTCTAGGTAAATCTGTTCACTCTTATTTCCCGTAGCGGTCCCAGTCGTAGAGAGGGGAACGTATGGGGGCGGGTTGGAAGGGGGGGGGGGAAATTTTAGCAAAAAACATGCAGAAGGAGGAGGTTAGTATCAAGCTGCCTTTCGAATTTCTTTTAAAATGCTAGCCCAGAAGAGAACTTAGCTAGCTTGGATAAGTCTGCATTTTTTAGAAGGAAGAAGTCACGCTTCCAAAAAAGTTTTTTTCCGGGAATTCATAAAAATTGTGTGAATTATTTACAGGTAGAAAGAAATCTACCGCAAATCTATTTATTGGCTCTTGTCCAATTTCGAAATTTCCGTAACTCACTTTTCTGTAGTTCCTCCCCCCCTCCCCCTGCTTTTTATGTAGAAATTGGCTGAGTTTCTTGAGTGAGCCATTGCCTAAGAGCACTGGATAATTTATTGGTGCCCGAATTTTTGAATTCTTTCCCAGCCTACACGTTTCAAACGAGATCACCCTCCTTGACGATACGCTGACTGTTGGGGTGTACGGTCTGGGCGAGGCTTTGAGGTCAGATACCTCGACTACGAATGAATTTGGTGACTCCTAATTTTAAGTACCACCACAGCATCACCAACAGAGTTACATGAAAATGAGCTAGTGGCCGTTGGATGCTTTCGGGGGTAGGACATTTGTTTTGGCTGAGAGTTTATGACTGACCAGGTGGTGACGGCACGTCGCCACCGATTACATTACAATTTCTCGTCCTATCGGGGATATGCGGTTGTCGTCGACTAGCCGCTGTCCTGCCCGGCCACTCCCAATCGCCAATCACTCACTTTATCGTCCTTCATTGCACTATTTTATAGTTGCTTTCATCCATCTCCTGCTCCTTGTATTGTTTATTTATTTGTTCCTCTTATACATGGCAGCCACATATTCACTTATGTGATAAAGATAGCTTTACACCAAAACACAAAAAAGACAAAAACAGAACTTAGATTTTCTTTTGATCATAGAGTTTACTGTTGATCTGCCGTATCATCTTAGTTCACAAGAAGGGTTTTCTGCCAGCTCTGAACAAGCTTTCTTCTTCCTGGTCCTTTTTGCTCTTCCTCGTTCCATTAAGTTGGTTAATAAATAATTTCGGTAACTTTTGCTGACCCTACAAATGCTGCAGACAATTTTTGTTCATGTTTGGTATCTCTTGAAAGACCACTTTAATTAGAATTGAAATGCAACTTCTTTTATCTCCTTAAAGGAAGGCGCAAAGAAGTGCAATATCCCAATTCTTTCAATATGCGCAGTAGAATATATCGTCCTCTTATCAAGAATTTCATGACAAATCACAAATTTCATTGTCATACACTACATAAAGAAAACTTGTGTGTTTTTAAATACCAAACTACTCACACATAGCTTAGAAAGTCAGAGGACTGCGCTTTTGGAAATCAGGCCATATTGTGGATAGCTGTCCTCTCTTGATAATAGAAAATTCTATAGATAGTTGATATGAGATAGAGTTTTGAACTACTTCTTCTCAAAAAAATCAGAGACAAAAAACAACAAGAAAATTTCCCATGATTTGCTTGAAAACAAACTCAATTTTTAGCCAACCAATAATTATGTGTTGAAACTAACGTTGTACCGGATACAAAAAGGCAAAAATCCGATAGATAGTCGAGATCACAGTATCTAGTTTTTTTCTACGTCTTCCGTTAAAGTTTTTCCAAACCTTGCTTTCCGTCCACAGAGTTTACTGCTGGATCGCCTCATCATCAGTAAGATTTCAAAAAATTTTCGTCTGCCAGCTCTAAGTGCAAATCTTTTTTTTGTCGTCTCGCCTTCTTCGCCTCCTACCTTTATCATGGCTTGATCGCAAACATTTAGACTCGCTTGATATGACCCAATTTTTATTCGTATTCACGACAAAACATATGATAATGATGTGACCGAAACAAAGGGTTCGCAAAAAAAAACTCCGCTGATAATTTACAAATTTTCAAAAACTCTCCTTGATGTATGTATTAGGTCGTTCCGAAAGTAATGTCGCTTTTTTCAAACGTACGCCACATCTCGTGGAACAAAGATATGTAAGAGATTCTAGTAGCATTTGATGCAGCATTTCATTCTCATTCTAATGGTCATATAACCGATGCAAAAAATCCAATAAGCTCTCGAAAAATCATCAAAATTTGCGACCCATGCTTTTTGAGAAGGCCAAGTTTCAAAATTTTTCTAAATTTTTGTAACAACCCTCGGAAGGAGTCCAAGTAATGAATGGATAAGGCAAAGCCTACAGGAAACAGCACAACATTTTTCTACTTTCCAGAGCTCGTCATAATTTTTGTATAGATTTTTTGATAAAACCACCAAATTTTAGCAGGCTCGTCTCAGACACAAATGCATCAAAAACCAGTAAATCTTCGGATTTTGAAACTTACAAAGATGGATTATGGTTTGACACTAATTTTACAAAGCAAATGAGCATTCGCCTCTTCAGATTAACAACTTTCGAAAAAACCAGGTGCAGCCTGTGGTGCCTTGGAAAAATTGAATTATGATAATTTTATTCCGAATGGATTGGAAACAAAAAACAACCGGTAGAAAGAGGAGAAAAAGCTGCGTCGAATGACACCCGAGTTGCTGTCGGTTGTTGTTCTGTGAGGTTTGAGCTGACGAAATATGGAATTTGATGGCATTGAAAAATTGATTCCAGAAACTCTAAGTAGCAAACTAAGGAAAAGAAATTACTCTGTGTCCTACAAAGTTTGCTGTATCTATCTGTCACTTGTGCTTCTTCGGAGAATAGCTAAAAAAATTTATAAAAATAGCCGAACTTGACCATGGCAAAAAGCACAGGTCCCTATTTTGGTAATTTTTCGAAAGCTAAATGAATATTATGCAATGAAATTACAACCATGAGAAAGAGGATAATATGCTGCATCAAATTCTTTTAAGATCTCTTAAAAATCTTGATTCTGTCAAATGTGGCGTTCGTTTGAAAAAAGCGACATTACTTTCGGACGACCTAATACATAGTATGGCATGCTTTTTATTTAGCAAGGATATTTCTGCCTCAGCCAAGTGTGAGTAAAGAATTAAGCATTTGTCACTATCGAATAGAATTTTGCGCCTGCTTTGAATTTCCTTGTGCATTTTGTATTTCCTTATGATTGTATGCAAATTGTATTGATTGTGAAATACAAGTTGCCAATGTTGCGATTTATAACATTCAGTATAAGCGCATCTGTTGCGCTAAAATCCATGTGCCTCCTGATTCTTTGCTTCAGTCATTTAAAAGATCAACAGAAATAACATTGACCGACTTTATTTGCAGCTCATTATCTTAACACCTGGTGTTAGTTCTTTGAATCACTTTCTTTGATATTATGTGGAGCAACTGGCGGTCATTTCCACCTTTATTCAAAAAAAAACAAACAAGGAATGCCCCTTAAAGTTTGGTACCAGTATCACTAGGTATATACGAACTTTCGTCTCTCTTTCTCATCCCCCGCTCTGTAACAATAGGTATAAATCAAATTTCATGTAGATATTCCATTCTTAAAAGCTGAAGGATGGTCAAAGTGAGGAGATTTGAATGTACCATTTGTGAATCTTGTTAACTATGGACTTTGCTGTTTTGAGGCAATGCGCGATTTTTTGATAGGTCGTGAAATCAAATAAGCATCATCGACTTTCATCCAAAAATGTCTTCTCTGGCTTTTAGAGCTTCTGCATTCATTTGTTCCATTATCTCAACTGAGGCTATGCTAAAAAAACCTTGTGGCACATAAATTATGATAAGGAAAAAGCAAAGAAATACTTAGGGTATCAAAGGTTTGCGCATCCTTTGTGTAGCTTGCAAGTTCATAATTGCCTTTTTCGGTTTCGACTTTTTTTATCTTGGAACTATCTCACTTCAAGATACTCTTCGGCTCTTATTGAATAAGGGACGGGATTCTCAGAAGTTGGTTTTTAAAGTTCTCATAAGTGTCCTTTTACCTAAACATATGCCATCCGTAGTCCTCGCTAAGCTCCAAACAAAATTTGCAAAATTCAATTTCTTGAGCACTTCTGCCTCACCACCTCAGAATCAAACTCGTACATCCATGGGGCCACTACTCATTTGTTTTTCCAGCCACTGTCAACTCTGTGATAGCTGTGTATTCTGAGCTCACTTTCAAAAACCTTTGTCTCAGCTCGTAACTTTGATTTGCATTAAAATGTATGTTTTGCAGTTCGGAACGACTGCCACAACTGCCAACGGTCTCCAAGCAAGTGGAATCATCTTCTGAAACGGATGACGCAGATAGAGAAGTTGCAGAGATGACACAAAACGTTGAGGGTACTGAGAATCGGTGTCGACAGGACGGTGTTGTCGTCGACAGAGACAAGGACAAGTGAGTGTTGTTGGAGACCAGTTCTCGCAGCGTGTAATTTCGCTACCTAGTGTAAAGTTGTTTCGTAAATACTGGCTACAAGTGCATGGTTGAGAAGCTCTAACGAGGTGTTTTTGAAGTGATTGAAGGTGAAATCAAATTGCTATGAATCAGGGGGACAATTATATGCTTGGAATAGAAAGTATTCTGACAAATTGTCCCGTAGTTTCGATCCGCATTGATCAAACCTCACATAGTTTTTGTAATCGGTGGTTCTGTTTAAATAAGGAAAGTTTCAAAAAATCTAAAAGTGTGTGCTTGAATTCAGATCTTGCTGAAAAAGTTCTCAGAAACTTTCACTTTTTCGTGCACATGTCAAACACATCAGCCACTGAATAATGTTATTTTTTAGTAGTCAGAAAATAGAGGGAGCTGAAAATGGTAAAATCTTTCAGAAATTTTTGATTTTTGACTCATGGGTATTATATAGCACATAGAAGGTGTCCCAAAAGTATGTACCTATTCAGTCGGTATTAACTCTTTTCCCACAAAGTCTTTTGCTTAGCTTTAAGCACCACTCAGTAGAGGGCTTCAACTTAGATTTACAGTATAGAGTGAATCACGCAACTCTTATCGCTAGGCTAAACCGAGTCGCTGACTGTGTATATTATCATTAGTATTATCTATTACATAAGCTAGTTGATAAAAAAAACTAGAAAAAACCAAAAAAACTTATTATCAACTGCATGTGATGAATATGAAATTTGCACTTACCATAAACCTTTTTTCATAAGCTATGCCAGATTTGATAAAACCATTTTCAACGAAAACTTGTAAAAAAATTGCTTAATGAAATGACCATCTCTAAAACACCTTTCTCTGCACATCTTTTTAGCATTTTCTGTGGCTTTTTTTTTTGAAACGGCGCATTTAATAATGGCGCTATATGCTAAAATTTCCCACATTAATCCTACAGTATTGCAGGGCAGTGAGTAATTCGCTCCATACTGCAAATCTAAATTGAAGCTTACACTACCGGTGGTACTTTAAGCTAAGCAAAACTTCGTAAGAAGAGAGTTATCAACGATCAAAAGTGTGTACTTACTTTTGGAACACGCCGTAGCTGAAAACTACAGTCAATTTTTTCCTCGTACGTCTCTGCGAGAAATATCAGTCTCTGTAATTTGAACCAAAATAATAGGATGATTTGATGCAATTCTTAGACTCAATTATTGATTGGCTTAATTCGTTCAAAATTTGTATGATTTCAGACTTTTTGCCGAAATGGACGAAAGCATACAAATGCTGTTAGAATACGGTCAACCAGTGCCAAAACCGCCTCCTAGAAGAAATTTACCGAGGGAAAAGGTGAGCAAATTTCGAAATTATGTTGAGGAGGAAGCATGCAGCTGTGTCAAAAAATCTCAATTCACTTTTAGTCACGGGTGTTCAAGTGGCTTGGTCGATTTTTGTAAAAAAAAAGAATTTTGAAAATGCTAGTCGTCAATTATACTTGATTTTTGGCACCAGAGGCCCGGAAGTTTTCATTTGCGACACTATAGTCATCATTTAATTGCGTCGAATTTTCCAGAAACATTAACATCTTCTAGCATTGCAATATTAATGCGAATGTGAAACATTTGAATCACTCTAGCATCACTTATCACGTTTTTCTTCCGTCTGTCTGACAAAGATACTGATCTTGCGATTTCTGCAAATGCACGCTAGCACTAAATTTTTCGCAACAGCTGTCTAAAAGTTATGTGTTTGTGCTTAGTCTGAAAGGTTTTATAAAGATAGGGTTCAGATTACCATAGGGTTTAGCCATTCCTTCCAGTTAGATTTGCGTCTTCGTTTGTCAAGCTTTTGTCTAATGAAACAGAAATTTTATTAGTAAAATTTGTTATTATGCATGTGAATTATTCTTTACTCCGTTTTTTTTTTTGCCATTTTCTTTCTTAAAATCGTTTCACGTGTTTATATTATTAGGTTGTCCCGAAAGTTTTGTCGGTTTTTTCCATCGCTCACTAAAACCCACAGAACACCAATTCATGGAAGGTCTAGTATCATTTGAAACAGATTTTCATCCTCCTTCTTACAGCTATATTTGCTCTCTGATCTACTCTGTCTTCGCAATGTTATCGCCATGGCTTTTTGAGCAGCTCAGCAGTAACCCCAAATCTTTTCTGAATTTTTAAAATTTTTCTCCTGCTACTTTCGAAAAGCGCTAATAACTGTTATGTAGAGCCATTCTTCGGCAACATTATACTTATTTTAGATTACATGGGTCACGCTTATCAAGTCCTAAACAATTATTCATTTGAAAAAAAAAACACCGCTTTTTGATGTCTACCACGTAAAATCATCGAAATTTCCAAAAAGCTGCTTTTTTCAAAACAAATCAAACTTGGATGTGTTTCATAAATAATGTTTATTAGCAATCAAGTTTCAATTCGCAAAAATTCCAGAAGCTTTCATGTTTTTGCCGCAGTTGCGTGTTCCATGGTTTTGCCAGAAATCGAGACCTCCGAAGAAATAATTTTTTGAAGCTAGAAACAGCAACTTAGGGAAATCTAAAAACATTACCGTATAGCCCGAGAATTGTTTGCGCCATGCTTAGTCCTTTCGTTAACTTCGGAGTAAAATTTATAAAAATTAGCCTAACTCCGAGCAGATAAAAATGACGAGTGAAGATTTGTGGCAATTATCAAAACAACCATACTGGATCTTGGCTCCTAAATGTAACCTTAAGAAAGAAAAGGAAAAGCTGCATCGAATGCATGTTGAAACTCATTCAGGTCTTCGTTGTGCGTGGTTTTATAGTGGTTTGAAAAAACCGACAAAACTTTCGGGACAACCTATTATAATACACATGAGAACGGACTATAGATCTTTTCCGAATTGAAAATTTTTTCATCTTATTGGTCACGGTAAAAATTTGTATGAAGTGCGATACCTTTACCAAAATTAATATTTTCTCTAGAGATCTTATTATTTTCCCTGGGTCCAAGTGCTAGTGCATGATATAAAGTCAGAAAAATAAGCGATTTGTCAGCTGTCCTCGAAATGCCCTATTATCTGGACCTAAGCAAGTTCGGAAGAATTCTAAACCGCTTATCACCTTATTTCTCTCCATCGACGGCCTGCATCTTCGGCAAATTTTCAGCACTTTCTGTTAGCAGTTTTCCAATGAAAATCGATGCTTTACCAAGTTTTTCTGGATGAAAATAAATGTGCGCACATTGTCTTCCTTTTATTGCCAAGAAAATAACTCCACAAAATTAATGGATAAGTTTTTCAGTCAAATGACTCCAATTCTCTGACGTTTTCGCACGCTTCTACCGATTCCAAAGCGACATCGGATTCTTTACCATCTGGTAAAATATTTCTACCATTTCTTGCTTGCCCATAAATGCTAAAATTTGAGCAGTCTCTTTTAGATTCTCGTCGATCTGCTGGTGGTTCAAGTTTAGCAATGACGGAAAGCATTTACGATAACATGCCAAAGGATCGACGAAAGAAAAGTCAAGGTAAGTATCAAAAATATTAAAAATTAGAACAAAAAACAAGGATGCATTGAATTTTTGAGGTTTATTTCGAAAATTGGATCACTGAAAGTTTTCTTGGAAGAATGTCTCTGGCATTGTGAACCTGCATGGTTAAGGTTCAATATGATGCACACTTCTGATCTTACCAAATCTCCTCCCTCCCCCCCCCCTTCAAACCCGTTCATCCCGATCTTTCCCTTCGAATATTGATGTACAATTTATTACATTTCAATATTCATGCGCATCTGTTTGTCTATAAAAATCTGTAGGAAATTATGAATGATTGTCGTAGCATAAAATTCCCACTAAAGGGTGAGCGCCAAGAATTTTCTTTTTCCTTATCACTTTTGAAAGTTTGCTGTTTTACCCATCTACAAAAACAAATCATTGCTCCCTAGCATCACTTGTCCATAATTTTGCAAATCTTTGCTTTTTCTAGACAAATGAGGAAAAACAGTCACATTAAGACAAATGCACATGCGAATAATTCGTTTACCAATTCACCACTTTCTCATTTCCTTCGTAAATCTTATCACACTTTTGCACACTTCCCATTGCAATATTTTTCTTTGCTTGCGGAATCAGTTGTTCGTGCGTTTGCGAAAACTTTTACCTCATTTTTCTTACTGCAAAAAAAGAGAGGATAGCGAGAAAGATGAGATTTGCTGCAAGGTGCTTTCGATAATATTCGAGAAAAACTTGAAAATTTTGAGAAAAATCTTTCCTCTGAATAAACAAAGTAAAGGAATGGGCTAATTAAACATAAGATCTCAGAAGCGCGTGTAAGTGAAAACATTGTTCACACTCTATAACGCTTTTTTACAGATATTCCAGAGAACCTACAAAATATTTAAAGGCTAATGTGAGTCGCCTGACGGAACAGCTGATCTTTTCAGATTCACCGCTGCCAAAACCACGTATTCGTCAGCCGAGTATCGGATCAGTGATCAGTAGCGAGAATGGCTCGGCAAAAATGACCTCCGAACAGACGAGAAAATCAATAAAATCGATGGAAGCAAAATCGAACAATCAATATGCAAATCTGACAGCTCTGACGGTGCCATCGTTGACAGGACGAGCCGGTAGCTGTGAGACGCTGGCTGCTTGTCCAAATGTGGGTAAATTTGTATTTTTCATGAATTTTGAGGGTACCAGAGACAAGTGACGGGGTAAAATTACTCTTTAGTGACCTACAGAACTAAAAAGGAATTATTTTATGATCAGAAAAACGCAATAATATATTTTCAGTAAGTTCATCGCAGTCTATTTGTGATAATAAATCGTTGATACTCCCCAAAACTACAAAATCATCGGTTTCTATGAATTTATAGATGTTCAGCTAGAATGAAAAAACCAGTATTTTTTATTGTGGGGACTCTTAGCTAAAGAAGCGAGAACAGCAGTTTTCATAATTTTTTGACGATTCAGCCAAAATGGCAAAAAATAGTCACAGTCAAAAAATAGTCACATTTTCTAGTATTTTTGTATCACAATTATTTTCAAAACATTCTTGAAGTCGTAATTTTAGCACTGAGGGCATTTTTTGAAAGTGAAAAGTTTGCCCCATCGTAGCTTCAAGTAATGTGCTCACATTTGTAGCAGTGTCAGAGTAATTCTATACTTCCGCATCAGCTCAAATTTCGCAAAATTACTTTTAGAAGAACCTTTTCTATGAAGAATAAACATTACGAGTTTTGTAAAAAGTGTATTCACCTCTCGAGAACTCTCGCTAGGCATTGTAACATTCCAGCAGTTCCAAGATTCTTGTCCTATAACCTTAGAATAGTGAAGGCTCAAGGCTTGAATTACACATCTGCCTGCGCTAAAGTCTGCGATTTCTTACAGTAACCGCGATAAGTCCGCGAAACGTTTGCAGCGCGGGCACGCGCGGCGTTTTTTCGCGCGCACAAGTCCGATACGTAATTACGATAATCCGTGCGACGTTTGGGGTCTAAACGGTAACGATTTCAGGAACCGGACAATTACAACTTGGCGGCGAAATTGAAGAGTGCAGGTACGAATTACATTTTCGACATAATCATCATTTGCGTAGGGAACGACGAGAATCGCCTTTTTTTCGTTTTTGCAAGTGGGGCCAGGGGGTTGACGTTGATGAGTGAGTTTGGTTAACGAAAGGGTTCCGCTGATCTATTAATAAAGCCGATGTGCTAAAAGTCGGGGCATCAGCTGTTTGCTGGATCTCGGCCGCTCGCACAAAATCACAAAATCAGCTGACACTTTCGAGAGCGAGAGACTTTAATCCAGAGTCGATGCGGCCAGCCCCTGTTCTCTTCGTTTTATTTGAAGTTAGGCTTTGCTTCGTAATTTATTTGAATGCCAGATTGTCGGCGCTGCCTCTCCTCGGATTGCGCCGAGTTTTGTCGGCGAATTTCCGCTAAATTCACAAACCGCGTCGAAAATCAACTTTGACGTTTTTTTCTGCTTGGGATTACTCTTGCTGAACTGTGCTAAATGCAACAAATGCTAATTGTTTACTTTTCATTGCACAAAAGTAAACTTTCAAGACTCCATGCAAAGTTTGCCTACATCATTCCTCCGTAATTGAAGGCTAAAAGCGTGCGTAGGTGACTGAATGACTAAATAATTCACTTTTTCTGTTTTCCTAATTATGCATCACAAACAAAACTTGCTTGCTTGAGCTGGAGGCCATCTGTCAAAGTGTAAAGGTCTTTTTCTTTACTAGTTTGTCTGTCATCATACTTCTGTCTTCGTTTATTCGCTTATAACTCCTTAGAAAAGATTTATTTGGAGTTATTATTCGCAGAAGAAATTCATCATGGAAAAGGGTGATATACATGTTGAACCAGAATACTCGATCTGAGCTACTGCTTTATTTATTGATTTAGTCATGTAATCATAATAGGTTGAAAAGAAAATGTTCGGGTATTTTTAGAGTAAATCTGCTATTTCACGAAACCTGATGCCTCAGCTATACTCTCTCTCTCGTCTGTAGCTGATAAGAATCCTGCTGTAGATATTAATTTCCTCTACACAACGGTTACAGCGTGCCTCAATCAGTGCTTACATCGAAACAAAAACTATGTTGAAAAGCAATGTCCAGGAACTTTTTTTTCCAACCTTACAATTATGTGATTCTGCTGGGCAGTTCTGAATCAATTCTAGTTAAGATAAGCTATTGTTGAAATGCAAGGCTGAATAATCATTTATTAATAAAGAAAATTAGCGTAATCCTGACTCTAAGGAAGATAAAATGATATGATTAGTGGCGCACTGACTAAACCTTCGTCTTTTGCTTCTTTGGAGATCCCCATAAATCGCCGAAGCTTCCCTGGACTTTCGTACTTCCCCGCTATATTTTCAATCGATAATCGATCCACAGCCTGGCGTTGTCTTGGCAGGAATCGGTTTTTTGCTGCTAAGCCTTCGCCATGTAAATCGGTCGATTGCGCTGCACTTGATCAGACGACAACGAAAAGAGGCAGCTTATCGGGCATCCCGTCAAGTTCTTTATTCGTCGAATATTAGCAATTATGGTTGATGTTGGCAAGGCTCTCTAAATCGGGCAAGGAACAACTCTCCAAGCATTTTGGACGAGTTTTCTTGGCAGCAGAGCCGAGCCGTTCACACAGTCTACACATTGCGAGTCACCGCTTCCACATATGGCCACCATATCCGTCGTCATATGTGGGTGTGTATGTGTAAAGAGGCGAAAAAACCGCGCCAAACGTCTCATATACGGCAACCGGTCGTCGTACAAACACAAACACCGATGCCGTTCGTTCGTTGGAGCTACGTTTGACGGAAAAAAGTCGACTCGTTCGAACGACGTGATCGACGTTGCGCCAGGGTGTTCGCGCAGCGACCTGGAAGTCGTTTCGACGTTACGCCTGTCCCCCCTCAGCGCGTATGAATTTGCCGTCGTCGCGCCCCTCTTATCACACGGAAGCGGCAAACTCGTCCACATCGTCGTCGTCGTCGTGTCGTCGTCTTTTGCACCAGCGCGCACGTCCTCAACTAATCCTATCAAGAGTCACAGCGCGTCATGAGAATTGCACCACAATTCGCTGCTGAGTAATTCCCTATCATTTCGCTGTGACACCTTCTCGTCTCAGACGCGAAGGCACAGCGCGTCCCAGAAGGAAGTCACCTCCTTCGATTACTGTAATCCAATGAGTTTAACTGTGGTATTCTGCTAGCTATGCGGCTCTACAGGAAAGGTGCTTTGCACTATAATGGTGCAGTCAGGCGCCAACTTCCGCCACCGCCACCACCCTACCAGCGTCGTTCGCCAAAGTTTCTAATTCGATATTACTTCGGTGGGTTTTCTGAGACAACCTTACTTGTTCTACTGCAGTCTCTGCGCGTTATGTGACGGCAAAATCTACGTATTTTATCTCATTTATTCCCTTGCAGGCTTCAGCACAATAGTTTTACTGAAATCTTGTGGTTTGACTCAAAATTCAATGCGGATGTCTTTCATTTCGCGATATCTCTCAGCTTCTACGGAGTCTCAACATCTCTTATTCTTTTCTTTTCGAATCTCATCGATCCTCTGTATTTTCTGTATGCTAATCCTGTCTTTCTCTTCCTTAGCTTGTCCGTGCTCTGCCGTACTATCCTCATGCACTTCTTAAACTTCTTTGAATATTTACCTATCGGATGAATTCTGGTTCAGCTCATATAGCTGGAGCTCTTGAGTTGCAAAAATTGCAGAGTTGCACATGAATTCTGTGCTAAAAATAGACCAGATGTGGATTCGGGGATTATTTATAGTTTTCAAAATGCAATCATCCAAGCAATGGGATTGTGAGCAGTCTTTATTTGAAGTTGAATTTCTGTTTACTGAAATACTGTAATTTTCGGGTCAATAATTTCATTAACCCGAATCACGATCTATTGTTTCTTTATAAAAAAGCGGTCTTCGATCCTTAGAGAATGTTTCGAAAAGAGTTTCATCCCTATTCTTGAATTTGTTTAGGTGCCTTGCGTTTTTCTACCAGCTTTCAGTTGTATTTCACCAAATCCCTTCATTTCCAGCGGTGCATTCGTAAAAGCCCCCTACCCCTCCATCCCCACCCAACCGAGTCACTGGAAAGTTTTTCACATGTTCCGTCCACGATTTGCTCGAAAACATCTGGAATTGAGCAACCAGAGAAAGACACAAAGACAAACGAATCGCAGATCGCGCAGTCAGCCATCTGCTTAGCACTCGGTTCTTCAGGTTCTCTTACCCCAATCCTTTTGTGGAGAAGAATGTGAGGTGTTGGTATGAAGATCGCGATCCCTTGACAAACAAGGTTTTCTTAGCACATCGGGGGTCAGGAACATCGCCGTGCGATATCGCTCTTGGATCTCGGGTCGCGAAGTGTCGTGCTCAACACATCGCCAAGCTTCACTTTGTCTGTCAACAAACTCTGCTGTTCGCTCCAGATTGCCGCTCATCGACCGATTTTCATTCCGTTGAGCAGAGTGAAAAGTTCTCTCCTCAGTCAACATTAAATTTTGAGAAGCAGCTATTCGTGAGAGAATCGCCGCCATCGGAAATGTTCAGAGGCGCCGCGCTTTACAGTGAAAGCGCGATATATAACGAGATAACTTCGCCAGATGCTTTCCCTTTCTCGCTTTTTTGCTTTTCAAAGATTGCCTTGGAAATGTGAATTTTCTCGGTTATATACATCTTGATGGAGGTGGAAAGTTTACTTTTCTAACACTTTCGACCTCAGCGTTGAGATAACCTTTATACGCGAAATTTCTTAAATGAATAGAAACTACTTTTTCAACACTTCGGTAAGCATATGAAGTTCCCAAATTTTATGATCCTTGCGGTTGTCGGGGAGATTAAAAGAATTCAGCACAAGTGTTCAACCTAACCCTTAGATTGTGTGAAAACTTTCGAGTAAACTCAAGAAAATGTTGCTCACGAAAGCTGAACAAAATCAGCCTATGCTGCACATGGTGCATCACACTGAAGCTCACGTGATGCACCATGTGTAGCACAATTCGAAACCTTGTTAAAACTGGTACACCACTTATGAAGCAGGGATAAACTATTTATTCATATATAAATCGCACTTTAGGATCGTGATAAAGTTTCCTGCGAAATTCAAGAAATTTTCCCGGATTTACATGATGCACGATGTGCAGCACAGGTTCGTAATCTGTTGGAAAACCATCTTACCACCTTATTTGAAAAATGGCACTGTATATTTTTTGATATGAGTGTGCTGCAATGGATATGCCAAAGTTTTCAGTAAAACTCAAGAAAATATTTGAAACTCGCGTGATACACCAAGTGCAGCACGGGTCCGAAATGTGCTAAAACATGAGTTTTTCCATTTAGAATGTGACTATATTATACTATGTTATAATCTTCTGTAAAATTGAAAATTTCATAATTTCCTGAGTACACTTCTTTGGTATTTCTGAGTCTAAGATATCTTTGATCTTCCAAGAAAATTGCAAAGCTTCTCAGATTTAAAGACGATCCGACTGCGTTCATAAGATTTTCATGTGGTCCATCAGCCTGCGCGATGGCAGCTGTCAAGCATCTGCTGTTTGAAAACATCAGCTAGTAATGTATTCTTTATCGCTATGCTTTTTGATGTGGGTTGCCACTTGAAATTTGAACAATTCTGCAAATTTTCATCGTAGTTCTCATCTCAAAATTCAAGGTTTCAATCACCTCAATCATGCTTGTTTCACTGAAATCCTTGACAAGTCCTCTTTAGCTTCGCAGCAATTAATTCCATTAAAAAGCTCTAACTATCTCCTCTATGAATGTCCCAGTTTTCGTACATTGAACCTTCTATGGGTTTATCATTGAAGAGTTCAATTTATTGCCATAACATTAGGAACTTTACGATGCCGCCTAATTTTACTAGCATGAGAGAGCCGTTTTCGGTCACAAATCTTAGCTCGCGCCGGCTAATTGTGGAATCTCGTCCACTTTTTAGCTTTCAAAATGGGACAAGAATTACTAGTGGTACGTAGTGCAAAACTTACAGTAACCTAACCTGTCTTCAGTGTCCTTTC